ACTGAACTAGTATTCTTACCTGGAGAAATCCATAGACAGACAGTAGCCTGGTGAACTACAGTCCATGTGGTCTCAAAGAGTTGGACATGAATGAGCAACTAACACACACACAAGTTTCTAAAATATAACAGGTGCTCATTAAATGTTAGTTTCCTGCTCTATCCTGGCCGCTTGCTTGAAGGAAGTTCTGAAGGTGATATTTGAGGCTCACCAGGCTTGTTAGGGGCTTCCCAGGTGGCTCAGTGATAAAGAATCTGTCTGCAATATAGGAGATGTGAGATGGATTTCTGGATCAAGAAGATCCCCTGGAGAAGGAAATGGCAACCCACTCCAGTATTCTTGCTGGGAAATCCCATGGACAGAGGAGCCTAGTGGGTTACAGTCCACGGGGTCGCAAAAAGTATTAAATGTGACTTAGCGACAAAACAACAGCAACAAACCTTGTTAAAGTAGCTATGGCTTTGTAATGAAATTGTAACAGAGACTGAGAAAGAGAACCCAGTGACTGGGAAGGTGAGATTTCTATATTGGAAATTTGCCTCTGGACCATATAGGTATAAAGCATTATCTATTTCCCCTCCAATTGCTTCTTTATAGTATTTTTTTCTTTGTTTTTCATGTCATCCTCCAACTGAGTAGGATTCCTAGCTTGCCTCCCACTTCTATCTACCTTAATTGTCACAACAGATGCCACATGATGAATCTTCTGTGAATATTTCTTTCATCTTTTCAACACTTCTTAGTTCTAATGGTAACCAATGTGTGCTGGGCTCTGCACTGTTTTAGATACTCTTCTAAGAAATTTACATGTGTTAACTCATTACAGCTATCCCATGAGGAGATACTATTTTTGTCCCAGTTTAATCACTGTACAAGTGGTTCCCTTTTCTCTACATCCTCTCCAGCAGTTATTGTTTGTAGACTTTTTGATGATGGCTACTCTGACTGATGTGAGGTAATACCTCATTGTAGTGTTGATTTGCATTTCTCTTAAAATTAGTGATGTTGAGCATCTTTTCATGTGCCTCTTGACCATCTGTATGTCTTCCTTGGACAAATGTCTGTTTAGGTCTTCCATCCATTTTTTTGGTTGGGTTGTTTGTTGTTGTTTTTTTGATATTGCACTGCGTGAACTGTGTATATTTTGGAGAAACTAACAATATTGTAAAGCAACTATACTCCAATAAATAATAAAAATAATATGGAATAAAAAAAAGAAAAAAAATGTACAAGTGAAAACAGTATAGAAGTGGCTTTCTCACGCTTATATGGCTAATATGCCTCATCTAGAAGCTGTGCTGAAAACCAAAAACCATTAGTGTCCCCTCATCAAATGGAGCTTCTGAACCTAAGTTTCAGAAATTTCCACATTCTATTTTGTCCATGCAGACCCACCCTCCTTTAGTTCCCATCTCTCTCCAAGGTGGGTGCTTTTTTATTTTTAACATGATGTGAATGTTTGTGATGCCTACATTCTGCATATACTGATTTTCTTTATCTGGATCTAAGGCCAAGTTCAGCTAGTTAGTTCAGTCTTCTTGGAATCTTTATAATCCATCTTCAAAATTATGGGCTTTTTACTTGTTCATTCATTCATTTGTGCATGTATTTATTTATTTGCCCAACAAATATTGTAAGTTTAATATATATCAAGCAATTTGAATATTTAAAGTTAAATAGATCACAGCCCCTGCCCTCTCAAATCACATTTTAGATATAGACACATAAATGTTTCACACAAATAACTTATACTCTAAGAATTACCATAACAAATGTGCATTCAAGGCATTGTGGGAGCACAGAGGAGGAAGTGCTGGAGCCTAAGGAGGTCAAACAAGGTGATGCTAATCCCGGCTGGATCTAAGATGTTTAGTTGCTTTAGAGACATTCATGAGTAAGATGTAGGGATAGAGGGGACAGGAAAGAAATGAAGCCAAAAGGAAAAGCATGGACAAAGGCACGTTGGTGAGGCAACAATACAATGATCACAGAACTGTTACTACTTCAGTATGTCTTAGGCAGACATGCTTCTGGAAGGGACAGGGCATGAAACTACTGAGACAGTGATTTAAGTGGAAGGATTTATATCTTTTAAAGGTATTAGTTTTAAGAAAGGTTGATTTGAGAGAAGAGCCAACTTAGAGTTAGGAAGACCATATAGGATACAATTGTAGTAGTCCAGATGAGAAATTGTGGAGTTCAGCACTGAGGCATCACTAGTGGGATGAGTGAACATATCTAGGGTATGGAGATAGGATGGATCATATTGAATCTAGAATGATTCCTGGGTATATGTCTTGGGGAAGTCAATAATTAGGATATGATATTAAATTGAGATTAATCATTCAAGAAAATGACTAGTTGTTGGATGGAGTTTATATTTGGACAACCAGCTGATGATATTTAATAAGTGACTGAAATGTGAGTTAATTTCTAACTTTTTGTGAGTTTGGAGTTAAGTATGGATCACCAAGATTGTGTTATGAACACAAGATCTACCCTCTTAGCAAAATTTTGGGTATGCAGTATTATTAACTAAATGCTCTGTGATGTGCATTAGGTCCTCAGGGCTTATTCAACTTGCATGACTGAAACATTTTACCTTTTGGACCAATTCTTCAATAACTATTTATTGAATGTTTTTATGTATGCTGGATTCAGGATGTTTGAAATTGGACAAGTCATTCTTACCATTAAATAGGACATAGGCCAGGGGATGGAAACAGGAATGAAGTACAGTAGGGAAGAATATGTATTGCTTATGCACTGACTTGCGGGAGAGTGTGGCAAAGAGAAAAGCTTGGTGTGGGTGGTCAGTGAAGTCTTCACTGAACAAATGATTCTGAAGCTGAAACACAAATTTTACAGACAAGGAAGGCTAGACATGAATGATATTCTAGGTGTAGAGAACAGAAAAGTTATTGAGGTGTGAAAGAGAGTAGAGCCTGTATTGAATAACAAGTTATTCCATGTGGTTAGAATACAGAACAAGTGAGTTCATCTGTGCAACTGTGTCCACATACCGTCAGGTTTGCGTTTTGAAGCAGGGCATCCTTGCAGATTAAATTTTCCTGTTTAAAATTGTTCCAACCAGTATTGTCTAGAACAATAGCTCTGAACTAGTAACACAGGTCAGGAAGTCTAAACACAATTTCATGAAAATATTAGGGGCATTGACAAAATTGCTGCTTTCATCTAAAAAAAAAACATGTATTTGTTTCAAGGTTTGGGAAACCCAGGATCTTAGACAGAGGGATTAGTAGAACAATTTATTTTACTGAAGTTGGCTTTAAAATAATTTATCTACTCTACTGCTACTTAACTTTCCAATATGTCTCCCCCCCACCCCCCGCCCCGCACAGGAGAGATTGCATAGGGGTACAATAAATTTTTTTTTGAATTGAATTCAGAAATTAATTTCTTGACATTTTTTATTAGTAGAAAACAGGTCCTGGCATGTAATTCTGAATGAATGACAAACTGTCTCAGACAAGCAAAATTTGACTCTGACTGTTTATGAAATCCAGAAGATGTGGATTTAGAGTCTGTCTCTCTCCTCTATCGTTTTGCCTCCTTCTTGCATTGCAGTGCCCTGTCTCTTATGAAGCTTAGCTCCTGGCCAGAGAATGCATTCCCCAACTCCCTGCAGAATCCTAGTGAAGTGAAATTGGCAGATTTCCGAATGGAGGGAGCTGATAAAGAGCCATCAGGCTCCTAAAACAGTGTGCAGTTTTATGATGTATTCTTTAAAGAATTAGAGCATTTATCTACTCAAATCCATAGTTTGATATCAACAAAGATTTTTGGTCATTACTATTATTCTGTGATATATTTCAGTGAAGAAATAGTTCAAGTCAGCAAAATTATATGTGAATACCTATTACATACAAGGCATAGTGCTGGTAAACCAGCAAAATTAATGTAAACTGTCGTCATCTTCACGTAAGTCAAGAAGCTAACTATTGCAAATATGACTTAGTTATGTGGCCATTTACATTATAAAACACCAAATCATAGGATGAATTATATATCCAACCGATTTTTTATTATCTTTACACATGTTTTATTTGTGGTACAATCTCTTTTTGTGATTTGACACTCTATCTTCAGTTAGGATCTTAACCCTAGGGATGGGTTTCCTGCCCACCTGCCACAAGTCTGCACTGGTTGGTTAGGGTGGCTTTGCTTTTCCAAGCTACATTCTCTGAGAATTTAGATGTATTATCCTTATTTTCAAATATAAGATTTTCCTATTGTGTTTTTGTCATTATTATATGCCTAAATATTATATAATTATCTATTTTTTTTCAATTCATGATACTCCACTGACAAATTTGATGTCTATATAGGATGTATTTTCTGTTGGTATTTATATCATCCTATGAAATATTTTCTTACTTGGATTATTTTAATCACTATTTAAGAAACTATCAATCATTGAATACCTAGAAAAGTAAGACTATTTGAATAAGAAAAAAATCTTACATGAATAATATTAATTCAGTGAATTTTTTAATGTTTGAGGCGGGGCAAATATATTTAAATTGAAATGTAGTGTTTGTATAAGTGAATGTAATTTTAGGAAAAGATACAAAGTGGAAATGATAAGCTCATATAGTGAATATATAATAGTTATTAAAATTTGCCTGTCACCTTAAACAAACTTTTCTAAATAATTACTATTACCTTTACTAATATTTTAATTGTGTCTACTCATAAGTGATTTAGGAAAAGGAAAGACATTTTAATATCAATGTATGGCAAAACCAATACAATATTGTAAAGTAATAAATGAATAAAACTGAAAAAAATAAACACAGTTATCGGTTCTTGCTTTCCTTATCTAGTTGTTTTAAAAGTGTGTGTTGAAATTCAGATATTTCTGTGTCTCCTCTGAAATTTTTCACACACTGTGTATCTTGAATAGTTTTGAAAACTGTTAGCAATGCGCTAAATCTAGGATCTAATTCTGATATTCACTTTGCAATTCCTTTTTTTAGGTACTGCCTGAAGTTACGTGGAAATGAAAGAGACTCATGAAACCCCTCCTCCAAGGGAGAATGAATGTCTTTCATAAATGGAGCCTGGCTTCTGGTTTTCCCAGGATAGTGACACTGTGGCAGCCACAGCGGCCCTTCCTGCTATTTTCACTGATTCACAGAACATCTGAACAGTGATGCTGGCCTTGGATTTACAGAGTTCCATCCTGATACATTATTTACTTCCCTGGGACAGAAAAGCTTGCACTAATTGCTCTCCATGGTGGCTAATCTTTTCAAGAGCCTGATTTTACCTTACATCCATAAGCTTTGCAAAGGAATGTTTACAAAGAAATTGGGAAATACAACCAAAAAAAAAGAGAATCGTCAGCCAAAAAAAGATCAAGACCTTCCTGTTGCTGGCCAGACCAAAACCCCAAAATTTTCTAACACCTTGAAAAGCACGGTAAAGAAGCTTGCAAAGTGTTCATCCACTCGCAACTTATCCACTGAAGAAGAGGAGGCTAACAAAGAATTTTCTCTCTCGCCCACATTCAGTTACCGAGTAGCTATTGCCAATGGCCTCCAGAAGAATATTCATGTAACCAACGGTGGTCATGAGGAGCTCCTCCAGGAGTTCTCGTCCACTGAGAGTTCCTACTCAGAGTCATTCAGTGAACTAAGGAGCAGCACAGAAAACCAGGCGCAGTCAACACACACGATGCCAGTTAGACGCAACAGGAAGAGCTCCAGTAGCCTGGCACCCTCAGAGGGGAGCTCCGACGGGGAGCGCGCTCTGCACAGCTTAAAGCTAGGAGCTCTACGCAAACTGAGGAAATGGAAAAAGAGTCAAGAGTGTGTCTCCTCGGATTCAGAGTTGAGCACAATGAAGAAAACCTGGGGAATCAGAAGCAAATCTTTGGACAGAACTGCTCGAAACCCAAAGACCAGTGCCCTGGAGCCTGGATTCAGTTCCTCTGGCTGCATTAGCCAAACGCAGGATGTCATGGAAATGATCTTTAAGGAACTTCAGGGAATAAGTCAGATCGAAACAGAACTTTCTGAACTCCGAGGGCATGTCAATGCTCTCAAGCACTCCATTGATGAGATCTCCAGCAGCGTGGAGGTTGTGCAAAACGAAATTGAGCAGCTGCGAACAGGGTTCGTCCAGTCTCGGAGGGAAACTAGAGACATCCATGATTACATTAAACACTTAGGTCATGTGGGAAGCAAGGTGAGCCTGAGATTTTTAAATGTGCCCGAAGAAAGATTTGAATACATTGAAAGTGTGGTGTACCAAATTCTAATAGATAAAATGGGTTTTTCTGATGCACCAAATGCTATTAAAATTGAATTTGCTCAGAGGATAGGACACCAAAGGGATTGCCCCAATGCCAAGCCTCGACCCATCCTTGTGTACTTTGAAACCCCTCAGCAAAGGGATTCAGTCTTAAAAAAATCCTATAAACTCAAAGGAACAGGCATCGGAATTTCAACAGATATTCTTACTCATGACATCAAAGAAAGAAAAGAAAGAGGGATGCCATCCTCCCAGACATATGAGAGCATGGACATAAAGCTGTCTACTCCAGAGCCCAGACTTAAGAAGAACAGTTGGCACTCTCCTGATGACAGTGATGGAGAGCTGGGATCTGACCTCAATAGAAACAGTTATGCTGTGCTTTCCAAGTCTGAGTTTCCAACAAAAGGAAGTGCTTCCAAGTCAAGTTCAAAATCACACAATGCTAGAGCCAAGAATAAAACTGCTAGTAGCAGCAAAATTGCAAATAAATCAGAATATGATAAAATTTCTTCACATTTGCCAGAATCGGATAACTTGGCCAAACAAAGCACAACCCATTATGCAGATGTGACACCTCTCTGGCATTCACAGAGTGATTTTTTCACTGCTAAATTTAGCCGTTCTGAATCTGATTTTTCCAAATTGTGTCAATCTTATTCAGAGGATTTTTCAGAAAGTCAGTTTTTCACTAGAACTAATGGAAGCTCCCTTCTGTCTTCTTCAGACCGGGAACTTTGGCAGAGGAAACAGGAGGGCACCCCTACCATATATGACAGCCCTCAGGATCAGGGTTTGAATGGGGCTCCTCAGGGTGTCCAAGTGCAGAGTGAAATTGAGAACACAGAAACCGTGGACAGTGGAGTGAGTAATGGCATGGTGTGTGCGTCTGGAGACCAGAGCCACTACAGTGATTCTCAGCTCTCTTTACATGAAGATCTTTCTCCATGGAAAGAATGGAATCAAGAAGAGCAAGGAGCCAATTTAGGTTTAGATTCATCTACCCAGGAAGTTTTTGACTATGACACAAACAGTCTATCTGATCAACAACTTGATGTTTACCATAAAGACCTGGAAGACTTGGGAAAGGGCCACAGTGACCTTCAGGATGACTCTGAGAGCTACGATTTAACCCAAGATGACAACTCATCTCCATGCCCTGGGCTGGATAATGAACCACAAGGACAGTGGGTTGGCCAGTATAATTCTTATCAGGAGCCTAATTCTAATGAGCTGTACCAAAACCAAAACCAGTTGTCCATGATGTATCGAAGTCAAAGTGAACTGCAAAGTGATGATTCAGAGGATGCCCCACCCAAATCTTGGCATAGTCGATTAAGCATTGACCTTTCCGATAAGGCTTTCAGCTTCCCCAAATTTGGATCTACACTACAGAGAGCTAAGTCAGCCTTGGAAGTGGTATGGAACAAAAGCACACAGAGTCTCAGTGGGTATGAGGACAGCGGCTCTTCCTTAATGGGGAGATTTCGGACATTATCCCAATCAACTGCAAATGAATCGAGTACAACTCTTGATTCTGATGTCTACACAGAACCTTATTATTACAAAGCAGAGGATGAAGAAGACTATAGTGAACCAGTGGCTGATAATGAAACAGATTATGTTGAAGTAATGGAACAAGTCCTTGCTAAGCTAGAAAACAGGACTAGTGTTACTGAAACAGATGAACAAATGCAGGACTATGATCACCCTTCATATGAAACCCCTTATGAAACCCCACAAGATGAGGGTTATGATGGGCAGACAGATGATGTGGTTGGTGAAGGGGGATTGGAACCCTTAAATGAAGCACTGGCTAAAATTGAAGTGAAAGAAGATGAAAACCAAAACATCCCTGACCAACCAGTGGAAGTCACAAAGCCAAAGCGTATTCGTCCCTCTTTCAAAGAAGCAGCTTTGAAAGCCTATAAGAAGCAAATGGCAGAATTGGAAGAGAGGATCCTGGCTGGAGGTATTTATGTTTAACCACTCTATTATGAGCTCACTGGGTTGTGTTCTTTAGAAAATGTTCTGTGTTTACTCTTGGGAGAAGGAATTTAGTTTCAAGCAATTTGCATGTTTATTCTGAGAATCTTATTTTACTTGGCTCCCCCAACAAGCTGGGCTTGACAATTTAAAATCAAGATGCTTTCAAATAGGTCATACTAAAATAAGCACTGTACTCCATGGATCAAGATTTCTGTGCTAGGATTAGTCAAAAAATGCCCTTCATATTTCCAACTTAATGGCATCAGGTATCAAAGGAAGCGTGGGTGAAATTAAAGAGAAGCCTGGGGTCTACATTTTGGTTCTGTTAAGCTTTATAGGGATTGGGAGAAAGATAATCTTAAAGAATTAAGAAAGATAGATTCCTAGATTTACCACTCCTTTCCCCATCAATTCTGTGCTTTGGAGCATGGCAGCAGGAAGAACTAGGTCTACACAGCCAACCCCATCCTGAACCATAGAGGACCACAACTTCACTCACTACCTACTGATGCAGCTAAGGGAGGACATTAAAGTCCTAGTCTGTGCCTGAATGGTCATAAGTCCCTCTTTTAAAGGAGTCAGTAAGGGAATAGAGACAAGTATCTTCCTTCAAAGAATGGAGTAGAAGTCTCTTGACCATTATGGAAATGAAAACAGTACCTTACCTAATAATTTTCCTTGACCTCCTGGAGGAACAATTTTGGATCATATACTTTTGAAAAGTAACTGCATATAAGTAAAAGTTTTGTTGACTTTTAATTTCTCAACCAAACTTATCTCAGTCCCTTAACATTTACTTTATTTGCATGCTTATTTCTTTCTATCTTTAGGATAGTTTGATATAATCTCAGTTTTAATTGATCATATACTGTTAATGGTTTCTTTGAATATGGAAATGTCATCTTTAAAATACTCTACATAATACTTCATAAAGTTATATATTTATGTTATCAAATATCACTTGCTATTATAAAATAATATATAATAATTTATTTATCTGGTAGCTGATATGGCTTCATTTTCTGTGATCAGATACTACTTCAAACTGGTCATGTTCTGGCTGACATGGGTGGATCATTGACTAAACAGATTCCTTCATGATTAAAATATTTTAGGCCCTAAAACAATTGAAATAACTATTAGGGTTCTCTGCTCTAAAATTCTGTTCATATAAAACAGTGTATCTTATGTAATTTTTTAAAGAACGTAAGTCAAGGGCATCTTGGGTACATTGGCTGTGTTTTTTGGTGGTTATTTTTAAAAGGAAGAGTTCTCAACTATTTTTAAAATTGATTTGAAAGGGCAAAGTAGTCAAAATTTTATGTAAATGTAACACATACTGGAATATCTTATTTTGGAGTGACTTTTAATATTAGATATTCTTATTACTGAAACTCAGTTCATAGTTCAAAGCCTGAAATACAGGTCATGCTTTTGACATTATATTTTAGTTACTATGGATTCAGAGAGATCTACTCAAAAGCATATTAAGAATAAGCAGAGTGTGTAGGTGTGTGTGTTTGTTGTGTGCAACACATTAATGTTTTCATGCCAGTTGGTTAAAGTATCCAAAATGTTAGGCAATATTATAAATACAATGAAACTATATGTTTCCAAAAGAAAAGTGGATCTTCATCAACTTATAAAAAAATCCCCAATTAGCAAACTTTTGCAAGGTAGTTTGTTACTTATGATGATTATTTACATAGCTAAAATCCTGGTCTTTCAATGGTACTTATCCTCAGAAAACATGAATTTGTTTGGTTATTCACATAGCACCCACTTCGGAATCCTAAGGTAGGGAAAACAATTGTGTAGCACATACCTAACACACCAGGTGTGTCGTACCTGACACGCTGACTCCAGAGGACTCAGGCCACTCTGCCATCTTGGAACTTGGCTTGTTATCCTGTGAGCCAACTTTGAATGGAATCTGTTGGATATCATTTATCCTACAGGAAATCATACATACATCTTTAAGATGCTCTCTGCTGGCTTGAAAGGCACCAGATTGACGGCCCAGGAGGTTGCAGTAGCCTAGATTTTAAAGGCCATCTCTTCTCTCTTTGGCAGCAGCCAGGCCGTTGTCCCCCTCCTGTGACACCAATATGCCTCATGAGGAAGGGCAGCCAAGGGAGGGCATTTTTCAGGCCCCTTCCCGGTTCAGAGCATCCCAATGAGATGCCAATTGTCGTGATGGATTCTGTGCCCATGGCCATCTGCTTACTGGGCTTTGGGCAGATGCCAGCGTACTTTTCTCTTCATGACAATGCAGTCACAATTGGGTAGCAGTGCTGTCTTCTCTCCATTACTGACCTGGCAAGACTGGACCTTAGATCTCTTGCTTTAAACAATGTGGGAGTGGTTCTCCTGACAGAACTTGATGGAATTGTTGGCTTGTGAATTTGAATCATTATTTCAACTTTTGTTTTCAGGGTCCTGGTAAAGAGGGACTTTTTAAAGACCCCAGTGTACATGGATGTTTGATGCCAGTTTATATGAGAATCTTAACTTGGAACAGCAGGCCAATCAGGAGAGAGATTTTAGTCTATGTGTAGCCAGAACCTCCATGAGGCCATATTCTTCCCTTGCTGCTGGACCCTATGTGTGTAACTGGTCTGAAACACACCATAATGGTGAATATCTGATCCTCTCCCCTTAGCCTTTCACCAGCCATCAACTGGAATTAATTAATATCTCCTCTAAATTTCCCTATACCTATTTCTTGGAGCTCTGGTATCCACCTTTATAATGATAATTTATCTGTATTCCTTATGTTCTCTTCTAAGCTGTAATCTGAGGGTCAGAAGTCTTGTCTTGTCATCCTTTCATTTGCACTGTGCCTAGGCCATTGCTTTATACATAGATGGCACTGAATATGTTGGATGAATGCCTACATCAAAGGAAGCAGGATACTGAATAAAAAACATGAGCTTTCACATAAAATCCAAATCCAAACTGTGGCCTTTAATAATAAAGGCTAAATTGTGCCTTTATTTCCTAGGGGTTCAGAAGTATGATTAGAGATGCAAACTTATTGTTGAGCACTATTATATACCAGGCATTTTCCCAGCAGTTTACCTATCTTTTTATTTCTTTGCCTCCTACAGCATCACTAAAAATTTGATTCCATTATTATCTCATTTTACAGGTGAGGAAACTGAGATGCAGAAAGCTTACATAACTTGTTCAGTGTCATACAGGTAGTAAGATGGTGAATACAGAATTAAATAGATGGTTAATTTGTTTTTTGAGAGCAGCCATATGCTTACTCACCTCAAAGATTATTTTGTTCATGTTTTAAGGTGGAGAGACATGATGAAAGATGGAGGTAACCTTGGCCACAGGCAGGGCTCATTACAACTAAAGGATTTTCACAAGAAAATAGAAATAATATGAAAAGCACTGAGGTTTTATTGTGAAATAGTTCATTCTCAGTTTTTCTAGTCCAAATGCATGGTTCATCTTATAAATCAAGGCTTACAGAGCACCCAAAATACTGTACAACAGATATTTGAATGATGATGTTCTAAAGTCTGAGTGCAATTTACCAGGAATTAGATTCTAAAGTCAGTTTGAAACAAGTTTTTCAAGAAAAATAGCAAAAAATGTTTTGTTTTGAAATGTCATTTCCAGGCTGCCTGTAGGTTCCGGAAGAGGCTGCAGCTAGACCGGATTATAAAGTCCATAAGTGAATTGCCCTTTCCATTGCTATTGTAATGCCAGAGCCTGCCCCAGCATCTGGCATATTTATCTAGTCCACAAAGAAATAAATATTTATTATATATATATTTAAATATATATTTATATTTATTATATTTATATATAAATAAATATTTATATTTATTTGTGGACTAGATAAATATATGCTAGACTCCTCTCTAGTTCCGTGGAGAACTCTTAGAATTCAGATAAGCTTTAATTTTCTTTCTATTGAAAAGACTTAAAATTAGATATATTTTAATATAGTGCAATGGGAAGAATGTGATAGAAAACTTGACTTTTCTCACCTTTGGCTCAGTTAATCACATCTTTCTTTCTATGATGATGTTAACTTATACATCTCTAAAAACTTATCTGAATTTACTTAAATTCCAGCTTTAATGTTGAAGAATAAATATTTCAACTAAGTTTTGAAAGTTTGTTGGCCCAAGTTTATCTATCAAGAGGTGCTTCTTAAACTTTTGAACATCTCTGGGCCTTTGCTGCGGAGAGTCCAGCTCAAGAGCTATGAAGTCTGCCTTTTTGATGCAAGTGAGCATCATAGCACAGTTGAAGAGTCTGCTAAGTACTGTGTAGCAAATGTTATACCTGCCCATGTAGGATTGTTTCATCTCCTCTTTTCTAATTGGAAGAGACAGTATCAGTCTAAGAAAATGTGTGAATAATTTGCTTAAAATGAAGAATGATTTATAATTCTCCAGAGCAGCAGGTTATTACACTTATGAGGAGGTTTTGGTAATTTCTACACATTAAAATATAGAGAAGCACTATATATAGTCCTGGAAATTTAAACGTCCTTCTTCAAGGCAAGTATAACAGTACTAGTGATAACAGAAGGCAGCCCGTTTGTAAAATGTTCTGTTTAAAATCAGTGCATAGCATTACATTTTTGGTTTAGTATTGTTTGCTTCCAAATACTCGATAATAACCTAAAATACCAAGTGATTGTCTTGGTTTTTGAGACAGGTTATGATCTATGTGAGGAGTGAAGGGGCCAAGGATCTTTACAGGCAGTGGAAACAGCTAGCGTCTCTTCTTCTTGCTAGACAGAAAACCCAAAATGCCCAAGGGAGTAATTCTTCTAGGAGACAGGATTGGTGCTCAAAAGAACACATGTGTTTATAAATCTCTTGAGTGGGGAGACAGGTAATGGTGGTGTGTACAAGAAGATAGTTCCAAGTGGACCCAAAGCTATTATTCTGATGTGGTATGGAACTAAGAGATAGGAACAGAACCAACACATGCATAACACCTTCCAATTCTATTCACCTCTAGAATCTTTAAGTACATATTTAATCTTCGTTGTCTAGTATTAGCCCCACTTTACAAATGAGCTGACTGAGTCTTAAAGAGGCAAAGGCAGGTCTGAGGCTACACAGCTAATAAGAGTATCGATGGAAATTGATGTACATATAGCAGAATTCAGCATCTGATGCTCTTTCCATGACATCCCATTGCAAGTGTGGGTGAGTCTTTTCATGAAGGGACATAGCTTATATTTTTAAGCATGCAAATAGGTTGTGCTTTTAAGATCAGCCAGTTTTGTGTTGGCTGCTGTAGTAAATACTGATCTCTGTTAACACAAAGTGAGTGATAATCGTTTGAGATGAGACAGTATCATATTTTTAAAAGTTTAGAAAATCTGGAAGGGTGAAACTTCTCACATTAAAAGACTTTATTAGAAATGAAGGAGTGCCAGTGATCAGAGTTTTTGAGGAATGAAAGCATTTTACAGGAGGTAGAGAAGAAATTCACAAGGATACACAAAGGTCAGCTTTTAACAGCAACAATGAAATTCTAGTGTTCAAAGATTTTGTTTATTTATAATTATTAATGGCTCCAAACTGTATGCCTGGAATATTTGTCTTTGTAGGGAAGCTAAAAATATAACACATTTTCCAAGGAAATATTAACTGATGATGAAAGAAGATGATTTCCAGATTATACTAAGAATATTGCTTCAAAGCCTGCAGTATAGATTTCAAACTCCAGGGATTCAAGGAAGGGTATTATGCCAAAATCTCAGATGGGTAGGTTTTTTTGCTAATGTCATCGTTCATATACTTTTTGCAAGTTCAAATAGAGAGCTTCTATAGAAATTGTGAATCATGTGAGACTTTTCCGTGGAGTGTGGGATAAAAATAAAGAAACTCTGGAGTCTGGTGTAAGACACAGGGAAGTCAATTGGCCTAGTCAATTGTTATTGATTAGGTTAGAGTTTGAGGTGCTGGGATATGACTAGATATACCCACTGGGGTAACTCAGGCTCTGGGATAAATCTCAGGAGGAAGTGAAGAATGAAAGCCCAATGCATTAGAGGAAAATCTCCTACTTGGAAAATATACCTCAGGCTACAAGTGACTACTAAGGCACCTAGAGTCTAACTCTGGGCATCAGTTGGGGAGGTAGAGAGCAAATAAGAACAGAGAGAACTGGGGACCTGAGGTGGGCAATTTTCTCCAGGAAGGCGGTTTTTTGATTGGACCTTGGTTACTTGTTTAGGGATTAGGAAAGGATCTAAACATCCCAGAATAGGAACTATTCAGAGGAAAGCAAATCCCAGAGGGATTGATATACTAGATTGGTCATTTAGAGAGTGACCCAAATGTCTGAACCTGGGTCTGTAGTCAGTAATGAGTCTCTAATACAGGTAAAAAAAAATAGCTTGATTGTTCCCCTGGCATCCAAGACTGAGCCCAATTTGCAAGCAGAGTGACCTGATGCTGAGTTTCAGGTTGCTGGGTTACCCTGACCACAAATAAAGCTGGTCCCCATGATAAGGTATTATTAATAGCTTAGGTTGCCTCCATAGACTACAAGACCACAAGTAACTAAATGCATTAATAGTCTTCTTCACCATGGTTTATTCCAACCTATGGTATGCATTTTCTTATTCTTTTTAAAAGGAAATTGTGTTATGGAATCTTGTTAACTATCTCATTCATCAAACTTGGTTCACACTGGGTCTCAGCTATTTCCAAAATAAAAGAAACCCTTAGAGGATAAAAATATATAACATTCAGCAGATTCTAACAACTATATCCCAAGCATACTTTGAGCAGTGTTACTTTGAATAAATGTCTCTCTCTACTCCCTCCAGCCATCTTCACTGCCCCAACTTATCCCTTACTTCTTCTCCAATTCAACCATGATTACTACTTTCTTTTCTTTTCTTTTTTTTGGTAGGGGAGTGCAGTTTATTACACCGGCAGGCCCAAGGCAGAGTCTCCTCTTAACCAAGGTCCCCGACCAGCATTTGTGAAAATCTTTTATACCCCATGTGTATGTGTCCAAACCCACCAGCCCAAATCCCTTGAGGCTTACAAAGGAAGGGTAAATACAATCACAATAACCCCATCATTCACGTGTTATATGTTTAAACAGTTAATAATCAATAAGCCCGTGGTTATATTCCAACCAGTTAATAACCGATAAGCCTGTGGTTATATTCCGATAGATACTGTCCGGAGGCAGGCGTGATTAGTGTCTGTTTTCTCTTAACCTGGATGTGATCTTCAAGATTCCCCTGCCCAGAGGGGGTCTTATCCTTCCATTGTCATTCCCACGGGCACTAAGCACAGAGTTCAGAGTCCATTGGAGAGGCGGCGAGCACGATCAGCACGGCCAGGCCTGAGATGGAGTCCAGGCCCTATGGATTCCTTCTTCCTTCCCCCCTCTTGATGCTCTTAGTTTCTTCCACAATTTTTAAGTTCACGGTGTTTTCTGGTGGCCATCCTGCTCCCATAGGGGTTCATTCGACCTCACAGAGTATGTGGAGGCAGTTAGGCTTCATTTCCACCCCATAGTCTCCTCCTAATCCCTTCTTTAAATTTTTAATCATGCACTCCAATACAGTTGCCTTAGATTCACTTCCCCCTATCTTGCTTACCTTCTCAGACCTTCTTCTACTTTTCCTTTTCGTTCTGTCTACGAAGTTCTCAGTACCCTATGTACTTCTGATATTTCCACTCAGTGACACTTAAATTGCCATTCTGCCTCCTTCCTAATTGGGGTGAGAAGAGCCTTACCTGCCAGACCCCAGCAGGAGAAGGGGGATCGGCGTGTCTTCACCTGCTGGTCAGCACAGCTGAACCAGAACATCACATGGTCTAAGACTGTTTCTCCCTTAAAGTCCGTTCTGCCTTGGTGGGCTTGAAAACACAGATGGGTTAAATATCCCATGTCCCAGGCCATCTCCAGAAAAGCCAATTCATACTCACTTCTGTATCCCCCTTCTTCTAGCCTAACAATTCCGAGGGGGTCAAGAATTTCACAGCAGACAGGACACCTCCTGGGGGAGGGCAGAATACAAGCATACAAGGACCAGTTTCCTATCCTAAAAATCCCCTGGCGATCGCTTGGTAATAATTTTCCCCGAGACGGTGTGGACACACCCCGTAAATGACCTTCACAAATTTCCTTCCTAAACCCTAGCACGCTCCTCGACCTGTGTACCAAGCAATTGCCGCCTGCCTATTCC